ATTATGCGTTTTCATGATGAATACCGGGAAACGAGTGTCAAATACATGACGTGTTCGTTGCCCTTATTAAGAAGCAGTAAAAAACAAATCGCTGTAGTGTTAGTTTTAGGGGTTTTTTCCTCAGTTTACAAGACAAGGAAAAGCTAATAGGATGGCATTCATGGTGAGTTCTGTGAACCAGAATTCGAGTTAACGAAGGAAATTCGGATCAAGGGAAACGAAATTTAGTTGCGGAGTTAGCGGGGAATTCGAGTTATCCGAGTAAACGTGGCTGAAAAGTAGGATCAAATCCTAGGGAAATGGGACTTAGTTCGAGTCAGCCAATTTCGAGTTAAACCGGGGTCCTAATGTAGATTCAAATCAATGTAAGCCGCTTTGCTCGTGTTTTTGTCATGTGCTAGATGGCTTTGAGGCTATCGTCAATTCCATCAACTATTTATCAGGAGTTATATTCTTTACCCCAGTTATTATAAGTACTAAGCTGCTAATTTATTGGCCATATTTACTCAAGTTAAAATTTGAGGGGTTTAAAAAACAAAATACAAAAAAATACAAAAATTTACAAATGAAAACCACAAAAAAATACAAACATATTTACTCATAAAACCATTAGCTACTTCAAGGCAATAGTCAAAGCAAACCGAGCTTATCAATTTTAAAACAATAGATTGAATATGAGCAATTTACGTGACACCGTGAAGTCCAAGGGGACCATTAAGCTCACACGTTCGGAGGCCTTTCGCTGTCGCCTTTTCATCGTAGCTCAACTTACATTTAATTTAGTATTTATCTTTTATTTCGGCTTTGCTTGTTTAAAATAATATTTCGCTCGCTGTATTTATTATTGAGGAAAGTACTGACAAGAGAGTAAGAAAGTTATTCCTAGAAACCAGATTCTGCGGTTAAAAACATCGTACCTTTTATTGCGTAATTAGCTATGAATTACCGCAAAACAAACGAACATAAACGATTAAACTTTCTTGTCGGTTCTCCTCTCACATATCATATTTTAGCCATATATATATATATATATCCTTGGTCTTGGAATATCCTATATAATCCACATATATAACCTCCTTAGTCGTACTTTTCAGGTCGGTTAAGAAATGTATTTACATGACACCATTACTCTTTGTCAAGATCACATACGTGCCTCTAATTGTGAGCAAGCAGATGACGTGCTTTTGTCCACTTCCCGCTGCGCGCATTGCAGCCAAAAAAGATCGGAATTCCTAGACATAGAGTTTTGCACCGACCTTTTATTCTATTTTGGTGTTTGGGTTTCAAGTTATTTTAAAAACAGTAGTTGGACGGTTTGGTTTGATATTTGCTCAAATTTAGCTTGTAAGCTGACCTTCATAGTTAAGTTTTAATTAACTTTAAGACACACCTCTTCAAGCTTATTTCACAAACACAAAAACAAGATCGTTAGATAGAAATAATTACTTTGCTTAGTAGGTGTTTTTAGCTGTGGAAAGGAAAATATTAAGCAATTTTCGAAACGAAGTCCGTTTGCTTAAAACTGAAATTAGTTCTCACTTTTGCTTCCAAACTGGAATAATAATCAGCCTTACATACCTCATTAAATGTGGCTTAGTGCCACGTGACCCAACACCTTTTGAGTTCTTTGTTCTCAGTTGGGCCATTTTCAGCTAAATTTTACTTACTTTCCTAATTTCAAACTAGACGTTCTTTCGCCGGAATCTTAGGAAAATTAGGTTTCTTTCAAACCATTGTTTTAGTTTCTTATATAGGAATTTGGATATAGAGATATCTCCAATTTTGCCCATTTTTTTCCACGCGCAGCTGAATTCAACTAAATTTTGATTTCTTTTGTTCTATCAGATCTAGCACCTCCTAAAGGCCGATTTAGACGGTACGATTTTTGCTTACGAATATCGTGCGCGACTAGTATACGTCATCACTTTTGACCACCCACACGCGCACAATTTTCACTTATGACATCCACATGTGTCGTACGAATGTCGTGTGCATTAACACAACACGATCTGTAGTGAAGTCATGACGTATGCTAGTCGCGCACGATAGTCGTAAGCAAAAATCGTGCCGTGTAAAGCGGCCTTGCCTTTAACACCTACTTTCTGCATATTAATACTATGTAGTCTTGCTAGAAACCAATTAACTTTATTGTTCAGTATAAATACAACCGCTTTGTAAGCTAAACTTGATTCACTTAAGGATCTCAACTAAAGACTCAACTAGTAGAGTTCTACGAGCTGTAAAGAAGCAAATAAACTGCGTTCAACTCAACTTCTTGTGTTCCTGAACATCTCTCAAAATCTGTAAAAATTCCACCCTTTAGGTCCCGAAAGTGATCAACATCAAGTTTCTTCTAACAATATCAAAACAAAATGGAAAGATGCGTTGATCTTGTATCAAATTATCACAACTTATTTTTTAAGGAAATGTATTGAGATCAGTACAAATAAATTGAATGTGGATATTGGGGCTTTAAGGGTTATATGTGTTATTAACTAAAGGGGAGCAAGGAAATTCTAACAGGGCAGACGGCAAATTGATGTTACTTGAAATATCTATAAGTCGTAACTGTTCTTCAGTAAAATGCCAAAATGTGTGCAATTCCACAATTGGTTTCGGCTTCATTAACTGCTGCTTACCAATCATTGTAGAACATTTTACGCGGAGCCACTCACAATTTCAGTACAATTACTGACAATGTGTATGAGTAGGAAAACAACCCAAAGCAAATGTAATGCGTTCAATAACGAAATAAATGCACACGTCAATTAAATAAGTAAAGGTGCGTAAAAACGGGAAACAAAAAACGCGCAACTTGTCTTGCAACATTGCTGTACAACATATTGAATAGCGATATCGCGCGTTTTGCCACCCACATCAAACCTGTCTTGCAACAAATTAGGTTGTTAACAAGTTTGAACGTGGTGGTAAACTGCGCAACATCGCTTTTTAACTTCAGTTGTTTTGCTTGTTTTAACTTGTGAGCGCGCGCTCATTAAGATTGCGCGTCCACACAACCGACACTTCCTGAAAAGATACTAAGACGATTGAATTAACAAAGGATGCGAAATCCTTAACATATGGAACAGTGAGGGGTAGTAGGAGGGCAGAGCGTTTCTTAGGGATAGACGGCTTATTTGCAAGACTTGCCGACGGGGGTGGGTGCCAATTTGGAGAACGGAGCGCGTTTTAGCTCAATGGGCGTGGCCGTGGGGTGCCTTAACACGAGTCGACCAAACACACCTGACTCATCCCCAGTCATCTCTTATTATTTGTAAGGGGCCAAGGAACGGTTGCGGGAGACTATTACGGCATGGGGTGCGAAGAGGACCATGGGATGGTTGCTTCCCTTGAATGCGCTTCACTCGTTAATATTAGGGAGCTCAAGCGACAACGACGAAACAAAAGAATGTGTTTACATAAGAAAAGAGTTCAACTCCTACAGGATTTGTTTGGAACACCAAAATGGCCGCCATTTCACTGTATGGCCGCCCTGACGTCGTGTGAAAACGCTCCATAGGAGACCGAGTGGCAACTGGGGTCGAGTCAGAAAACAGACGGTCAAGAGGGTCACCAATATGATACAAATTAACACCTTAATTTATTTGTTTATGGCAATATTTAGATTAGAGTTAAATAAGCAAAATGTTAACTTACTTGTTAAGCGGGCTGCATGTGGCAGCCTGCGTTGAAGTTTAGGCCGAACGCCGTTTTTCTTGTGTTGTCCAAATGGCACTATTAATCCAAGCTGGGTGCACATGCATGTTTTGATACTGTACTTGTTACGAACGAGTGAGTCACTTTCTATAGCCGTCAGATGTAGAAATAAACTCGGCTTACCTTAAACTGGATTTTTTTTTATTGCTTTATCTGTGCAACCTGGGCTCACTTCATGGCCATTTTCTATAATTTTGCGGTTCATTGGTTGTTCGTCGAAATGCATTTTGTAATTACCGAAAAATAAAATCTTAGAATATAAGAGAGATTAATTTTTTGATCTGAAATCACTGGTCCGTTCTTACAAGAGACTCGCTCTTAAAAAAGACGTTTTGGCTGCCATAGTGGTTTAACTCCGGCCAGATTGCAAAAAATCAGCGGTGATTGCACCGTTTTCAAAGAGGACTGGATGGGGACAGACGCCAATTCCCTTGAGACACAATACTATTAAAAAAATGCATCTTTCTGTTAAGGGTTTATCAAGACGTTCACAACGCGAAAAACAGTAATAAAATTGAATGTGTATGAATTAAGACAGAAACAGTATTCCGCTTTTTCGAACGAAATTTCTGATTCAACAAAAAATTACGGATACACTTGCTCTTGGCAAATGAGAGAACTCAAGAGCAAAGATATTTCTTTTCTAAAAAGTGGGTGTTTAGTTGTTGCTCATATATTAGCTGAACTCCATATAAGTTACATCAGCTTTACAATTTCATCTCAGCCCCTCTCTCCCACAGACGAAAAAAGAAAAAGATTTAGTTCACATCGAATATTCAAACCAACAGCAATAAGATATTTTATAAATGTACAAATGAATTTTTTGGATAATTTTGACTTAGTTGACAGGACAGTAATAAGCCTTTACAGCGCACTTAAAAGGTGCCTAAAAATGTTCGGTTCTACGGTAGTCACGTGTCATGCAGCACGTTTTCAACAGGAACTATAACGAGAACAAGTAAAGCAAGTGTTTCGGTTTTCTTAGGACAATATTAAAATTAGTCCAAACAAATCACATCAGGATCTTTGTCCTTAGTGGTATCCCCAGTTTTCACAGTATGCGACTGGCTGGGTTCTTCCTGAGGGGCCTGGGGAGTAGTTTGACCTTGTCCTGGCGAAGCTGCTTGCGTTTCAGAGGGGGAACTGGGGCCAGACGAGGTATCTGACTTAATAAGACCCATTGCTGAAGCCTTGCTACGTATTATGGGAGTGATCTGATTTTCCACCAGAGCTGTGGCAGACTTGCTCAGCATTTTACCAATTCCGCCTTGGATAATGGGGGGTGTACCGCTGCGGGGAGACTCGGTTCCGGTTTGGCCAGAGCTCAAACTGTAAACGCTATTGATGACCGGAGTAAGAATGGCTCCAGAGCTGACAGGAGCCGACGCTGTTTGTGGTACAGCGGATGCCGCAGTCACAGCGGGCTTGGTAAGAAGAGTAGTGACGTACTGTGTGGGGGTGGGCGAGTTTACGTGATGACTGATCATAGGAGAGCCTGGTTTAGGTATATTCTGCACGAACCCGGGCTTGGCCTGACTTGACGTGGCAGTGGAGGCCGAAAGCAATAGAGTAGTTGGTGGAGGTGGCTGGACTGTGATGGTTGCATTGCTGCCTGTTACGGGTGGAGCGCGGTACACAGAGCTTGTAGTGTAGTGCAGGGGTCCTGCTCTGATTTGTACAGGGGGCATGATAATGCCACCGCCCAACACTAAGGGCTGGACCTTTGGCTGGATAGCAACTGAACCCATTCCTGGAACGGGAGGGGGCTGGATGGTGTTTCCAGGTATGGTGACATTAAGCGGTGGTCCCTCGCCACGTTTCGTTAGACGGCTGAGGATTCCTCTCTCCGACATGTTAAGCCAAGCAGTGACAGTAGGCATTCGGACTAGTGTCGAAGGAAGACGGTTGACGTCCGACTTCATGTCTGATAGCAACTCCTCCAGCTGATTACAGTGAGTTTCACAATACTTTTGACAAACGGTTTCCGAAGTTCGCCACGCACTTGGCAATTTCATTACGCAGTTGTCAATCAAGTCGGGAAATTTGAACCAAAGTTGTAAATTTCGCGCCGAACTTCGTTGGGAAGTTGTCAAGTTCGTTGAGAGGGAAGTTCACGCTATTCGGTTAAACAGCCGTCAGTTTGGTAATTATTATTAAAATGAATCCATTCACAGTGCAAGGAAAAGCAAAGCCAAGTTCTGTTAGGGAGAAAATTATTGAAAACTGGTTAGAAGGGAAAGGGCCAACACAAATAGGGAAAGAGCTACGTCTACAGAAACAAACCATTGCCAACATCGTGAACAACTTCGTTCGTAGAGGAAATTCAGAAGCCGAAAAAGGGGGAAATAATACTCGGTTAGCGCGTACTGACGATGTTAATGTTTATACTGAGTACTGTAAAAAATTAAAGCCCAGCATTTACAGCAGTGAGATCCAAAACAAATTGGTGGAAGACAGCGTGTGTTTGCCTGAAAATGTCCCGTCGCGTTCATCGCTAAGCCGTAGCTTAAAGCACGAATTGGGCTATTCTTACAAGAAACTTAGCGTTATTCCGCAAGAATCATTGACACCTGAAAATGAAAACAGATTGTTTGAATACTTAACAGTTTGCGCGACTATTGATCCAAGGACAATGCACTCTTTTGATGAGTCTTCAGTAGTTAAGACAACTGGAAACAGACATTACGGACATTCAAGAATAGGCCATCCAGCTTTGGAAGTTCAGCGATGCAATGCTACCTTTACCGTAAATCTTGTGCATGATATGTATGGCGTTGGACACGTCAATTTGTTACCTGGCCCTTCTAATGGACTTGAACTTCTTAACTTCTTCGCAGAAGCATTAGAAGAAGAAGATATTTTTGGGAACCCACTTCTTAAAGTTGGTGATACCGTAATTATGGATAATTGCGGTTTTCACTATGCCAGACACGTGGAACTAGTTTTAAGAAATCTGTTGGCAGCCCGCGGCATTCCGTTGATTTATCAACCACCTTACCATCCCCAGTATTCTCGGATTTCCTCCGGAGGTCTCGTGCGAACCTAGAACGGAATAAAGTAACAGAAGTCAGAGGGAAATGAATTCTCTCAAAATTTCAAGCTCAAATCTTTGTATAGGTAATAGCATGATTTGTAGTGATATTTGGCATAACTACCACGATTGTTATACGAAATTTCACGAGCCGCTGGGTGAGTGACATTTGAGACAATTTTGAAATATCATGCTATTAATTGTTTATACTACTACCCGCAAAAGGTTTGTAATTTTCACATGTAGTTATTTTAAATTAAGCTGAAATACCATTGCTCTAAGCCAATCAAATTGCAGAAAATTATCATGTAGAAGTATAACAATGTTAATACCATTGCGGGCTACCAGGGGAGCCCCGCAATCCTTATCTCTAGGTTGATATTACGCATGCCCAACACGTATGTAGCCAGCATTCGTTTGGACTTCCACTGAGAATCAATGGCCCATTTGAATGCATAGAACACAAAGCTTACAGCGTTAGAGCAAAGATGCTTTGACCTTCAACCTCGCCCACACTTACTAACCTTTCATTATTACTACCACGTATGTAAAAACAAATGACCTGGAAAAGGCCTTCTTTTACAAAAGAAGATCTTTTAAGGCATGCATCTTACCATTGCGATCGACGAGACCCTTCAGGAGAAGGCAGACCATACCTCATCACCGCTTTCAGGAACAATTTACGCTGTCGCAAGTTAAAACCAAAAACCTGGATAACAAAATAAAATACACTTTCAATTTTCAGTTCACTTAAACGGAACCTAAACAGTATTGCAAGGTTGTATAAATAGTTTACGTTCTTCCTCATTAACTGAAACACCCAGGCTGCGTGCAAACGGACGCAACAACTCCCAACATTGTTGCGCCAACAATGTTGGCAGTTGTTGGGCGCGTGTTGGCAGTGGTGTCCAAACGGACGCAACAACTCCCAACGCAACGTTGGAAGGATACAACCCTTAAGTCTTTGTAAACCATGCGTAATGAGCTTGCGTGACCCCAACAACGTTGGAAGAGCTGTGCAAACGGATACAACATTGTTGGGCTACGCTTCGGCGATCACGGAATAAAAGAAATGTTGGGAGTTGTTGGCTGTTTGACCGGTTTCAAATTTTGCGCAACAACACGCAACAACATCCAACAACATGCAACAGGGTGTGCAAACGGACGCAACATGTAACATCCAACAATGTCGCGTCCGTTTGCACGGGGCTTGAAACTCGATAGACTGTAACTGACGCTTGGCCATTAGTTGCCTAAAGTACGAGGAGAACACCGAAATGTACAACTTTGTCCAAGTAAAGCTTATTTGGAGTAAGGTAGATTTACCTTTCAAAATACTCAAATCCCACCGACCGTCTGCATACGTCATCTTATTTACGCACGCCCGAGCGTAAATAAAGATTTTGACCGTATATGGATCATTACACGTTTCTGGGAAACTGCCCACCTACTCTTCCCCTAAGCCAACATTTTGCCCCAAGTGGGAAGTGAGGGTCAATGTTAGCTTAGGGAGGGGTGGGGAGGCAGACAAACACGCGCGCTATGTTATAAAGCTCGTGATCATTTGCTTTTGTCTCTGGTAGTTTGTGATGATGATTTCGAAACTAAGGAAAGTATTTTGGGCTCGAGGGAGGCGTGCGGGGCGCGCGAGGAAGCAGCTCTTCCTCGCGCGGGGTCTCGCGCCCACATTTTCTTCCCCCTCCCTTTCGAACGCAGGTTAACGTAAAACCAGTTAACTGCCTTTAATGGGTTAGTGAGCGAGTAAGTGTTCTCGCTACCGAGAGTTCGTAGTAGCGGCCGAGAGTTCATTTCAGAAGTCGGTAATTCTCACCTTTTTCTCCGGGATTTCGCTCCTACCCGTATCATCAGAGTGTCCGGTATAGCCAGGTGTCCTCCAGACGAGTGCACCGTTAGGGGACTTGAATGTATTTCAAATGAATCGCAGACTGAGCGGGGGTTAAGGAGCGTAGTGCAGTAGTAACCACTCGATTAGCCCTCCCCAAACAGTTTATGGATGCAAAAAAGCCAAATTACCTGATTCTTCCTGATCTTCCACGCCTCCATCAACATAGCTCACCTGGGGATACACACAGAAGCAGTTTAGAGATCAGTGACCATACTTACACGTAATTTTTTTTTCAATAACCGCCTTTAGCTTGTACGTACCCTTCTAAATACCCAAATTTCAACTGGTTTCCATGTAATCGCAGCAATCGGTTAGTAAACGTTTAGTGAGCGCAGCGAACATTGTCAGTTCTGTTTCAGGATGGCTTAAACGTTATCATAAAGATGGCCACACTCTTTTTCAGCGGATCGAACCAATCATATGAATCGATGAACAGGCAGTTTTCTTTGGAAATATTAATTGTGACACGTCATGTTGCGCTTTGAACATCATCACCAGACAATATTTACTAGAAACCGGGCGCCATTCCAGGCGAGAAAACTTTCTATCAGCGAAAAAGAAGATAACTGCAATCCAGTGACTACACCACCCCGAAGTAAAAATCACGCCAAGTTGTTAAATAGTCAAAAATAAAAATTTAATTTGTGCCGGTAAGTGCTCATGCTTCGACTATTATGTAAGAGTTATTTATGTGTCCTGTGTCCTTTCAGATTAGAGCCTTTAGGCTCTAGAAGTGTTCAGCATCAAATTTCTCATAATATAAATACTTTGTAATACAGAGTGGTTGCGATAATCAAGGACGTGATCACACAAGATCAGTTTAACTGACACTGTAAAAACTTCTCCCCACCACTTCTAGAGGAAATGAGAAGTTAAATTTTGATCCGACAATTTAAGGTAATTCCCTTGTTTTGCACTGCGCACCCCCTACTGCGCATAACATTGCGACATCCAAGATAGCGGCGGTTCTTCCCACTAGCGCGAAAAGAACAAACAAGGGCCGCTTTTGCAGACGCAAAGCTTTTATTCGCAATAATAATGCCACAGATCGGCTGAAAGCTTCCTGCCTTGCTATCGAAAAACAAGGAAATGAAAGAAATGTGCGTGATCCCGAAGTCTGCAGTGGTTTTTCACTTCTCGGCCGTCGAGTTGTGGAATTATTTAAATTTCCTGGCTGAGGCTTTGGATTATGGGGGCTGTGAAGCCTGTAGGACAGCTTTACGGCTCTCCAACTGCATTAACGAGCCAGTATCTGGCCTGGGATCGCTACTGTACATATGCTGTTCAAACTTCGAGAGTGGAGAGACGAATATTTCTGGAACAAATAAGACCCACTGTAGCACCAGAACCACTCGAGGGTGACCAGTCTTTGATGTAAACACAAAGTTTGCTGCTGAATTCACATTTTGCTGTGTATAGAAACCAAACAAGCGAACATATGAAGAATAGAAGTCAACAGTCTTTTCTTCAAGTTTCTTTGTCAAGCATTATTGTGCAAAAGCAAAAAAATCGAACCCTAGCTCACTGAAATTCAACAGGACGCCGGCGCTACAAAATAGTCAAAAATAAAGATTCGTAACTCCAAATTCTCATCAAATCCTGACTTACCTCATTCCTTGGTATTTAATGTATTCTTTTCAAGTTTGAATGTCTGTGCTGGCGATATCAAACACTTAAAAACAACCGAAAACAAGCTTGATCTCGAGTGGATACTTCGAACACGATGGGCTCCATTTTGTATCTCGCCCCAGTCCCCGCCGCGCAAATTATCCATCCTGACTGCGATCCCAAAACCATGTCCACCTTTCACAGCAGTTTGTGAGGAAACAAGCACGGTGACCCCCGATTTTTTTCACAGGTATTTGTTAAGAACAATCTAATAAAGAACATATTTGAAGAAGAAAAAAAGTTTGATAGTAGAACATGATTTTTTGGGGGAAAATACTTTCGTATTTGGTGTATTTGGGTCAAGGCGAGGACTTCAA